ACTTTTCGCTATTAGTATTTTTTCCGTCACAGGTATAGCTTATACATTTTTTATTAACTTTACTGATGCCATACAAATTACTTCAATGCATGTAAGTAAACATAGATTCCGGAAATATTTGATGGAATTTGGGAAATAACTCTGAAAATTTCATTACACAATGTCGGCATTTAATCATACCTGCAGGTAGGTAGGATTTATATTCTGAAAAAAATTTCAGTTGCTAATTTTTCAGTCTTTTCTGTAGTTTTAAATGAAATGAAAAATTTACTCGCACTAAAAGACTCTTAGTTTCTAGACAATGTTACTCATGGTAGAGTCGTTTAGGATGAAAGGAAGAACAGCTATGCGATCATAAATGAGGTTTCGTCTATTGTTACTCATGTACGTACAGGCATAATTCTGCATTATTCTAAGATTTACATCCCAATGAATACCTACATGCTGTTAGACTCCTTTTTACGTACACAAAGAGGGTTCATCGTAGCAAAAATGACACGGTCGATCACAAGATCCGGGAGCAAGATTATCATCTAGAAATAAAAAATATGCAAATAAGGCAATTTCTTAAATGTCCCGTATTATCTCGGATTGTTGTCCAATATAAATCGGCACTCTTGTAATGTCTGTTTCAAAAACTTGCAAGATGAGTCGATTATGTGGTAGCCTTACAAAAAAGAAGAACGAAACGATCCCAAAAAGGAAACAAAATTATTATAATTGATATTTTTGTTCATCTTTGAAGAATAAAAACTAGCTTACCTAACTCTACACAGCAGTAGGCTGCGTTATTTAGTGGGTTTTGTCTGTAGGTTGGTTTTATATTTATCTTTAGTTAGTAATTAGGACGAGTTTTTTTTTCGGTTTTAGGTCTGAAATTATCAACTTAGGTAGATAAGTACTGATAATGATTGGTAATAACCTAACATTATATTGTATATGTATAAAGAACTATGGGAGCGACAACACATAAATAAATAGGTACGCTGATTTTACCGTTTGTATCGATCACAAAGTGGTTTATAAACTACTGGTGGTTGATACTTTAATAGCGGTATTGTTTATTATGTGCTGAGAAAAACTCGAGGAAAAAATATTGATCCGGTTTCTTACTTTAATTTACTTTTCTTACAACGGCTATTTAAGCTAATACTCTGGCATCTATGTAGTTATAGATGTTGTTTTGCAACTAAAAAGGATAGTCGGATAAAACGAAGATAAGATTTATTATTTAATTATGTATAATCCTCTTAATTGATGGCAAAGAATAAACAATACATATGTTGACGGCATGTCTTAACGCTTTAAGGCAAATGGTTTAAAATTAGACAGGCTTAAATATTTGTTAACCTACCTGTAATAATGGGAGATTTCCAGTGTTTATTTTGAAGTAGGTAAGAATAAAAAATAAAGTCTGTTATGATTCCTATAAAAGTCTACTGAAAATAAAATCATGAAACGTAACGTAACGTGTGACGTAATTTGTGGAAGGCCCCTTATTAGTAGTGGGTAATTTGCCTGCTTGTCTCTACAAAGCTCACATGTGCCTGCGATATTTCTCATTTATGAATCTCTTTCATAGCGTATCAATATGAAAGTTTTCCTGAAAACTGATATATAAGTATTTCTTTCTCAACTCTTATGTGCATGTTATTTAACATTAGTTCATTCCTATTTTGCTATGTACTTAACAATAATGGCAAGAGATGAAGATACGTCATTATTTACCTTAACAGGCAAAAGTTCATCTGTGACTGATTTATGTTTGGTAGAGACATTGAGTTAGAGGTCAAATGGTAGGACTCTGGATATTGGTTATAAATCCGCCATTTTGTATTTTATTATTTTTATTTTACTAATAAATATCCCTTTAACGCGAATACTTGTTTTAATATTGTAATTTATTAGGTTAGTAATTCCATCTATTCGAGGTGATAAAGCTCATAATTGCCTGAAGCAAATTGGTTGCTGATTTGATTACAGTCATACAATAATTAAGAAGTTTTATTAGTGATTATTGCAATTGCGCAATTTAGACCTTTGTCGGTCAACATCGGGTCATTACATTCGTGGCCTTGCGATATTTTATAGTTAAATGTAAAGTTAGTAAGACCAGTAGTTCAATTAGTATAATTAATTTGTCCGAGATAGATTGTGACTGGTTTTTTTCATATCTTAAGTATTTCCCGCGAAACTTAATACGGTCATGTCGAAGGTTTTCCTGGCGGAAACTGTTACTCGCTACCTTTGAACGACAATGACCCACTTAGTTCTTTATATCCGATAGTAGATATTGATAATGTCCTACATTTCTTCACACTTGAAGGTGAACGTACGGTCCTGAAGGCATCTGATAGAAAAGGCTTCGAATATAACTTATGAAATAGACGGACGAATTCGATTTCAAAATAGAGCGTAGCAATGAATACAATGATTGTTGTTAGGAAAGTGAGATTTTCAACTTACATAAACATAATCAAAAGTAGGTACCTACTCTGCTAATGATTACCTATAATAAATCAATATCTATAATACTTATTTCTCGGTTATTCTAGCTTTTGAAATTATTTTGTGATGAAATCTAGTTTCTATTTTCTTCCATATACTTGGTAATCCTTATTTCTTTCTACCAAAATTCATTAAAAATTAGTTCAGCTATTCAGACGTAAGAATTTAACAACATAGTAGGTACCTACACGTTTCGCATTTACAAAAATAAAGTATTTAATTTTGGTTACTTCGTAATGTGTGAGACCTACGTCCTACACCCATTTTACTGCTTAGTAACCAAAATTATACGTACCTATTCCTACGCTGTAGGTATATAGGATATAGGTATTCAATATCTAATAGCGAAATGTAGTCTAAAACCGGTTTATCTAATTCGAGAGCTATTCTGTCTGTCTAGCAATATTTGGATAGCTATCTAAGAAGGTATTTGCACTAATGATAAAATATGTAAAATGATTGTGGGTAAATGTTTGCCAGAGATAAATCTTTGGAACTACATAATGTTGGTATGGAAAGTTACGTAGACGAAATCTAAGAGTAGTAGGTATATAGAGTCGCGAAAAAGATTTTTATTATTTAGGTAACCGAGAAAAGTCTTGGCTATGGATAACTTAATGATGATTTCTATAAACACCACTGAGCTAAAGATTCATTAGTTACTTTGTCCCTTTATAAAACGAGGGTGGTTGGCGCAGTGTCCCGGTAAGCGAAAGGTCGTGGGATTAAATCCCCAGGAAAATCTTCTCTGTTATAACATTGAAAATTTGTATTTCTGGAATTTCGTGTCGGGATTTTGTTATTGTGCAAATATAGTTTATAGTTATCTTCAACTTGCTAACAGATTAAATCAATTATTAAGTATAGAGTTTCAGAGGAATCCGTGTAAATATTTCCCTTTAAATTTCATATTTGGTGGCTGATATTGCTTGTTGTGTGGATAATATTCCCAGTAATATGGATATTCCTAGAAATCCCTACACGAGTTTAGTAATTTCATTTTATATTCTTTTTAACTTTTTGTCTCTACCCTGTGATCCCTCGTTTAGTTTCTTTTCGTGTAAGTAGGTCGTTCGTGGGATGTTTATTTTTTTGTTTTTCCTCTTCTTTTAATTGTTTTGTCTCCAGGTCAAAGCCGGGCTATTCCTATTTTGTATGATCGTTAATGATTCTCCTTATTAACTTCATGAGAGGATCTTTTTTAAAGTAGATTATTTACATTGAACTACAAAGTTTGCTTTACCTCGTGACCCAGGTTTTTATGGCAATCCATCCTTTCAGAGATTCATTGCACTCTTCCGGCACCATTTTTATTCGTCATGTACAGGGTAGAATTTGCACACTTACACTTTGTTTTGTTTGTACTATCAGCAAGTTCTTTGTACGCTTCTTTGATGCGGGTTTGTAGGTTATTTGAAAGGGTAAAGAGAGACAGAGTTTGTTCACCGGATGTTCATAATATCGCTGATAGAGCAAGTTTCATAGTTAGATAATCACATAATCTTCGGAATATTCAAACTAGCTATTCGACATTAATTTGCCAACATGCAATTTATTAGCGCTAACGTCCTTGACTTTATTTGTGTCACCTGATTGCAAACCATTAATTTCATCATTATGTTAACACGTAACGGTATCTAATGATTTATTTGTTGTAGGTAAGAATTAATTAAGCTTTTTACGTTAATCGTACCTTAAGTTTTAATTATCAATAGACGTGAACCCAATGCAATATTTTAATTAGCAATTTAAAACCAAGATGATTTTAGAATTATTATCAGAGATCTTGATTAAAAAGTCGTAAAAATTACAAGGACATTGTAGAATATAATATTTTATAACATGCATGCGAATTATACTTGCGTCTCTACAATTAACTTTTTGTTGTTGTTTTTATTATAATATCCTTTAGTCTTTAGCCTAACATGCACACACGAAGGTCAAAATGGATACAACACCCAAAAGGATAATGTAGAAAGAAACTATAAAATATTAGCTGTAGTTATATAAGCTACTATAAACCTGAGTATAAAACGATTGACTATAAAATACCTCGTGTCTTAGCTTAAAATACCTACCGAGCTTTAACAATCTCCGGTGTTTGTGTTTTGCAAGCAATTATGAAATAAATTATTGCAATATCAATCACGTTTTGTATTGATTTGTTTTGCAAATAAAAATGTGGTCGTTCGATTGTAATTGTTGAGATTATTCTTGTAAAGCATGGGAATTGAGGGCCGACTGATCGTTATATGAGTTAGTCAAGGATTTATATGCCTTAAGGCTATGTGTTTTACTATGATCTTTGGCATGTTATAGGTACCTGCAAGTCCTGCCACCAGCTAGCTCTAGATAAGTTATTATATAGTTGGTATCGGCTTTGTGTAAAGTTAGATAGATATACCTACGTCTCGTTTTCAGGCTCTATCTACCTGTGATAATGTATTTAATTACCTCTGGTATCTTTAAGTAGGCAGTCGTTGAAATAGTACATTAACTCTTTAAGTATGTGACATTACTTTGTATTTAGATGCTAACACATTCTATTCTCTTTGTTCACAGTGAGGCGTCATTAGATTTGGCTGGGGGCCCCAAAAGCAATTACACATTTCCGAAAGATTTCGTATTCGGCGTGTCCACGGCAGCTGTGCAAATCGAAGGCGCCTGGAATACAGACGGTATGTCAGCTTGCCAGTTGTTACCCTATTAATTAGCTGGCAATCTAGAGATATTATAATAATGTTTCGTTTCCTTCGTCACATTTGGTTGTCTAATTAATAAGCTCTTCCAGAGCCTATGACAAATAATTTCCTATGTTTGATGTTCACCACATTTTTCTGCAATCTCAGGAAAATCAGAAAGCATATGGGACCACTTAGTGCACACCAACAAGTCCTTCGTAAAAGATGGCAGCAACGCAGACGTCGCAGCAGATTCATACCACCTCTACAAAAGAGACGCCGAAATGGTCCACGAGCTAGGAGTTGATATCTACCGCTTCTCTATATCCTGGCCACGAATTTTGCCCACGGGTTTGACGAACGAAATCAACCCTCTCGGTCTTCAGTATTACAGCAATCTCATAGATGAGCTGCTCAAATATAAAATTACACCCATGGTCACTATTTACCACTGGGATCTGCCTCAGAAATTGCAAGATATTGGAGGATGGACTAATGCACACATTGTTGACTATTACACCGACTACGCCAATATTTTGTTCAAGAATTTCGGCAGTAGGGTAAAATACTGGGTCACGTTTAATGAGCCAATGCAGACTTGCTTGGAGGGTTACGGAGGCACCTACAGGGCTCCAGCTCTGAATCGTCATGGGATAGCGGAGTACTTGTGCACTCACAACCTGTTGAAGGCCCACGCAAGCGTCTTCCATCTTTTCAACGACACTTATCGTCCGCAATTTGGAGGTGACTAATTAAATAATTAAAACTGAAAGACGATTAGCATATGAATTGATGTGACCAGATAATGCTGTTAATAGTAGCTGTTGAATTTGTATTGAAATGTTTTAATCCTCATTTCAGGTGAAATTGGAATGTCTCTAGATTCAAATTGGGCTGAACCAAAAACCGATTCTCCTAGAGATAAAGAAGCTGCTGAATTGTATTTAAAAACCCATGTGAGTATAAGATATTAAAATAATCAAATAATAGGTACCTAGTTTGAATAATAATATTAGAACTACTTACCTAGTTTAGTATCTCAGAGTTAGGTTTAACTACGAGTACCTATTTCAGTTTTCTTTTCAGTACATTATCAGGAAAATACTTTATCTTTATTGTCTGCTAGACAGACATTGCTTTTCAGAATAGCATTGTTTTATGATACCGAAACAAACAATATACTCGTATTATTATCCTTTATATCTACNCTTCTTCTTCTTCTTTTTTTCGTGTCGACAACAAACCTACACAGTGTCAGCCCAAAAATCCTTTATATCTACGATTAAGACTTTTATCAAACAAATGTTTATACTATCTTTGAGTTTCTTGAGATTCAGTTTGTGAAAAAGATAAAAAACTATTTATATAATATTTTCCAGATGGGTTGGTACGCGCACCCTGTATATTCTGCCGAAGGCAACTACCCTCCTGAACTTATTAAGCTAGTCGATGAAAAAAGTCGCCAACAAAATTACACAAGGTCGCGTCTTCCTAAATTTTCTCCTGCAGAAGTGGAGTATATTCGTGGAACAGCAGACTTCTTTGGACTAAACCACTACACCACTTATTTACTCAGCATGGCTGACAAAGAAGTAGGTGCGGTGCCGTCACATGAAAATGACGTTGGCATCGTAAGAATTCAAGACCCAAATTGGCCTTCGATGTCTTCTTCAGCTTGGTTGAAGGTATATAATTTGACAATGAGTAGTTAGTACATGAGTCTAACCATATAATATGGTAGCCCTTAGACAGAAAAGTATTTTCGGACCGGAAGTCGTAGTGTAGGCAGATCGACACTATGTCTCGGTGGACGGACGATCTGTTGAAGGCCTCAGGAATTTCTTGGATGTCGCCAGGATCGGACGTTGTGAAAATCCTTGGAGTTTATCCAGCAGTGAACGTCTTTAGGTTGAAAACAATGGACATACTCTACTCGACTTTTCTATCGAAACGATTAGGAAAATAAAGATTTCCATTTGTTTTATTTTATTTAGTGCAATAAAGTACCTACTCTACAAAATATCCTAATGCAGTATATTTTCGCTTTCCAGGTTGTACCATTCGGCTTCCGTCGCCTTCTCAAATACATCACCAAAACTTACAATGGCGTGCCAATTATCGTCACTGAAAATGGCTACGCCGACTTCAGCGGCGTCGAGGACTCTGCCAGGGTTTCATACTACAACCACTACTTGAACGCACTCCTGCACGCCATACACGAAGACCGCAGCAATGTCCGAGGGTACTTTGCTTGGAGCTTGATGGACAACTTCGAGTGGGATGATGGATACGTGTAAGTTATTCATTACTTTTATACTAGATCGAGTTATTATGATTATTATATGACTAGGTGGCGGTTCTTTGTGTTCCATTCTTTTAAATAATTTTAGAATCAGTGTACTATAAATTATTTCAACATCTTTAAGAGAAGTAAAGGTATATTTGCTACGTGCTTTTCTTCACTAAGAAGACAAATGATGGCTATTTAGTTTTGTGAATGGTGCAACAGAATTGCTACTATGTATTTCTAAANAGTGCAAGAGAATTGCTGCTATGTATTTCTAAATATTCTAAAACTAAAGTCTCGATTACACAAAAAACTTTTAGCAACGAAGATATAAATTAAATAATCATTTGCTGCTTCACTAAGTTTCTTAATAGGCTGCCTAAAAAGGCGATACAGACCTTTGCATCTAATTTCACTATCTCAGCCAATTTATGCAAAATGTAAAGTAGAGCAACTTAATTCTTTGTTTTGATGTTTGTGTGACTTTGAATCGTCTAAATACCTACTTAGCTACTTTGTAGCAGTCAAGAATAAGTATTATTTCTTCGTGACAAGAGCGATAAAAATGTACTTGCCTTTATTTTTATTTTAACTACTTGTATAATTGCTAAAATTACTCAGGCTGGGTTGCACCATCTTACCACATCGATAAACGTAAAAATCTCTCAAACTTCATACAAAAAACACCAGTTATCGTCAAAGTTACGGTCAAAAAGTTATGTGGTGCGGTGCAACTCAGCATAAAACAAGTTTTTTATGAATTTGAAGTCTTGTTATTTCATGTGAACTTAATGGATCAGGGTAACAAAAACAAAGTCTATAGCAATAACAAAACAGCTGAATACAGTAAATTGTTATGCTCTATTAAAAAAATCACAATCAACAACCTTAAAACTGAAAATGTTGCACTTTTGCTTATTACTAAACTTGCTGTGCATTACAGTTTCAGATACTGTCTCTAAAATAAATACTAACACTAAGGCTGGGTTGCACCATGTAACTTTAATTTTGACAAACGTCAAAAATCTGTCAAAATCCTTACAAAATACACCGGTTATCGTTATAGTTACGGTCAAAGTTAGATGATGCAACTCAGCCTAAATAACGTGGAAATGTAATAAAAATCGTAGGAGTCAGTCAAACTTTCTATAATTTCACTCGTCATGTTTGTAAATGCATTTGCAGGTCCCGCTTCGGTCTCTACCTGGTTGACTTCAATAGTCCGAACAAGACGAGGACGGCGAAGCACTCAGCGAAGCTTTACTCGAGCGTGGTCTCCACACGCCGGCTGCCCGCGGACTACGACCCTGAGGACTTCACGGCCTTCTCGTCCGCCACTACTCTCACCCCGACCTTGCTTCCCCCTATCCTCCTATACACAATACTTTACTGATGCCCACGTGCACACAATACTTGTATATAAAACTGTACGTCTACTTATCATTAAAATTTAAGTAACAATATCGTAAGTTTTCAACTTGATCCCTTAAATTAAGATTAGCTTAAGACTTAAATAGTGAGAAGGAATTAGCGAACGAAAGGCTAGTACTCGACGGTGGTGAGTTTCTTGGCGTTGTCTCGTGCGACTTCGCGTTTGAGATGGGCCTGTATGCTCGCGAAGGACTTGCCCTTGGTCTCGGGCAGGACGGCCAGCATGAACACCAGCCCGAGCAGTGAGAATGTCGCGAAGCCCCAGAATACTGTGTAAATTTCGTATGCGTCTTTCACCACCTGGAATAGGAAAATGATACTTGTAAGAACTTTTAAAATACAGAGTACCCTAGACTTTACTGAAGAATAGAAATAAGAAATTGGGTCGCAACAATTATTATTTTAAAGTTTATAGGATGAAAGTCGTAGACCACACTGTGGTTCTGAACCAAGTTAGATGAAACATACCTAGATAAGTTTAGTTAGTACATATTTTAAAATCTTGGAAGTAATTCAGATGTGGAAAATAGATTGCTAGAATACATTTACGCAATGTGGTAGCTGATTAAAACTTTGGTCTCATGAATACGTAGTTTCAATATTTTTAAGCATTTAAGTTTTTTCAGACACTTGAAATGAGTTTTACTAAATAGTAAGAATGAATTATATCATACCTGGAAGAGTTTCTGAACAGCAAACATAGAAATTCCAGTGTAGATGTGCGCTATACAAGAAGCATACAGCTTGACATTCGTCGGGAACATTTCTCCGATGATGACGTAAGGCACGGTTGATAAGCCGATGGCGTAGCACACGATGTAGACCAGCAAAGCTGCTAGAGGCAGCCAGTGCAGGCTCGCGACCGATCCTTTGTTGGTGATGTCGAAGAAGAAATAGGTCCCGATGGTGCCGTTCATGAGGCCGACGCCAAGAGCGGACAGAAGCAAGAGTGGCTTTCTTCCAACGCGATCTACCAGTATAACTGATAGCACACACGTGGCCACCTGGACACAGCCCAATATAATAGACTCTTGGTATGGCTCTATTGGCGCTGCTACTGGTTCCGTGGTACCATTTGTCGTTGCAGTCAGAGGATCTTGGCCAGTAGTGCAGTTGAATATAACCTGAGCGTATGCCACTACCGCAGCGCTTCCGCACAGCTGCTGAATAGTGAATATTCCCAAACTTATCCACATGGCTTTTCTATTCGTGGCTTCTGTGATCAGGTCAGACCATGTGCCTTTGTTTTTCATGTCTTCTTGTACGTTTATTTCTATGTTCTTTAGTTCAGTCCTGATATCGCCCGACCGTAAATTTCTTAGGGATCTTTCAGCCCTTTCGCTGCGTTCAAACTTCAGGTAGTAGTAAGGCGACTCAGGTAGGAAGATGAAGGTGATGAGAAAAGAGATAGGCAGGGTCAAGTTGATGGCTGCTAAGGTGCGCATCGACACGAACGGTCCGATGCAGTATTGGGCAAGAATACCGACCTGGAAAAGAAGAAAAAAATTGTTTTAGAAAAAATCATAACAAACTTTATTTATAAGATGGAAATTAAAATTTATAAAATAGTTTAAACATGAATAAGATGCTCAGAAGAGGCAATGCTTATTAGTATTTACGAATAATCATTAGAAACATTTTAGCACGTGGAGATAACATTATATTCGACGCAAGATAATATTATGATAGAGGGGTCCTCTATCCACGTGCACGAGTAGGTAGCGCGTTTATTTATAAGCCATTTCTGAAAGGTACGTGCTCATGTGGCAGATTAATTAAATTATGCGATAGTTACGAGCTATCATCAATACACAATAATCTTAGTCGTAAATTCATTTGTGTTTTACGGTCCAACTTATCAATGTTCTTGATGCAAGTTAATTATTGTTGATAGAAAGCACTCATTAAATCAAAGAAGCAAACAGTGTTATTAGATGTTTGGTACATAAACAACTCCATTTGTGGAGCACGTTAGGTACTATTAAAAATCGTTTGGTACCTATTTCCTAATATCCTGAGTTGCTTAAAGCTCTCTCTACATTTCAATGTGAGATTGAAGGTAAGTTTAAAATTGTACGCAGTAATAATTAGGGCAATGAGTCACGTAGAACGTCGCTGGCAATTGAATCCGACCAATTAAACACGCAAGCGTAAAACAAACAATTATTTTGTTTAGTAAACAATTTTATCCTAGAAATGGGCCGCCTAACAGTTCTAGAAATAATGTTGTCTTGTCGACGGAATTCTAATGAAATCAACTGTGTGTGACATTGGCAATGTTATTTAAAAATACTTGTTTAAAAGAAGACTTTAGTTGTTTTGCTTAATTTAGGCTCACATAATGTTGTTGCAGAAATAATGTTTAATATGCATTTATGTAAATAATCTCTATCCGTTAGATAGTGTTTTTTATAGCAATTAGAATGTTCTACAAATTCACTACATTACAATTTCCGCATGTTATTTAATTTTTAACTCATAAAATAAAGAGGTTAATTTTTATGTAAATATTTTTAAATGGATACTCTCTGGAATTTCTGGTACGAATCCAAAAAATATTTCAAGGAGCTATGCTACTGACTTCAAATGTTTTAAGCTACTTTTTACTTCCATAATATAAGTATATTTCAAGTGGAATATCTTAATATTATGCTGTAGTAGTTTTATGAAACAAGACTACGCCCGACTTTATGTTTATTTTACAAACTAGCGGCCGCCCGCAACTTCGTACGCGTGGATCCCGTTTTACCCCCTTCATCTATCTTACGCGGTTTAGATTTTTTCATACAAATGTTTATTCCCGCTAACTCCCGTTCCCGTGGGAATTTTGCAATATCCTGTTGTAACTAAGCTTTAAGTGTATTAAGGTACCTACATGCCAAATTTCAAGCGTCTAACTTAAGCGGTTTAGATTTTTCATACAAAAGGATTTTCCCGCGAATTCCCGTTCCCGTGGGAATTTCGGGAATTCCTTGTTGTAACTAAGCTTTAAGTTTACTAAGGTACCTACATACCAAATTTCAAGCGTCTAACTTAAGCGGTTTAGATTTTTCATACAAAAGGATTTTCCCGCTAATTCCTGTTCACGTGGGAATTCCTAAGTATACTATAACCTGCCTAGGAGTATGGAGAATAATTGTACCAAGTTTCGTTAAAATCCGTCGAGTAGTTTTTGTTTCTATAAGGAACATACAGACGGACAGACAGAAAGACAACTGATTGCATTTTTGGCATCAGTATCGATCACTAATCACCCCCTGATAGTTATTTTGAAAATACATTTCATGTACAGAATTTGACCTCTCTACAGATTTATTTTAAGTATAGATAAGTTACCTACTAACTAATATAATCGTCTCATGGAGAGTAAACATACATAAATCTGGCTTAAACTTGCGAGGGATTAGTTAGACTCGTTATCTTAACCGGCGAGAAAGGGACAAAAGATGTTAATTAACCTGTGAACTGAGATTACAGTTGAATGGCGTTGATAATGTGGGTCTACAGGGTACATAGGTACTTAGCATAGTATCTATAGCTTCAGTGCACAGACTGTATAATGGTAAATATTTTACGATAGGTGTTCATATCGTTACTAACGCATTACCTATGTTCTAATATTAGAAATCAATTAGGTGTACAAGAGTATTCAATTTAATGTTTTATAGTTAACTAGCTGACCCGGCGAACTTCGTACCGCCTTAGCGTAGAGATTTTCTTAATATTTTTTTCCGTAAGAACCATCCTTGGACTTCCACAAACATTAAAAAAAAAGAATTATCGAAATCGGTTCAGCCGTTCACACGTGATGCCGTGACAACGCGAAACGGGTTTCATTTTTATATATATAAGATGCAATATTAAAACTTAGAGATAGAGACTCTACATTCGCTCAATTATAGTTCACGATGAGGCGGATTTACCTTACATGTCTTGTTTAGAATTCCTGGTAACCAATAATGTTTTGATAAAAACGGTTTACGTTAATCTGTTCTTCCATTAGACAATAATAAACGGAGTCAGTGTCATAGGGGTTTACGTAACAGAGATAACATTTAAATTGGACGTTTTTTTAGACTTGGTTCTGTAAGCAGACTGGACTACTTTGCTTAATGTATAATTAACTTTAGCTTCTTCAAGTCAAAGCGAAAATTTAATATTCCAAGCGAGAGTTCTTTACAGTTTTACGAAATCTTTTGAAGCGGGGCAAAAGTTTCATCGAGATACTCACTTTATTCATTAAGGTGATGAGAGTGGAAAGAGCGCCTCGCACTTCGTTCGTGGCGATTTCTCCTGTGTACATAGGGGCGACGGTGTACACGATGCCGTAGCCGAGGCCTGAGAACATCCTCGCGACGTAGAGGACGGCGACAGACTTGGCCACGATGACTAGTATCCAGCCGAGGATGAAGGGGATTGCGCCGAGGAGTAGCGTCGTTTTTCTTCCGAATCTGTCGGCGAAGTAGGCGGCTGGGACTGGCGTGAGCGCCGAGCAGAGGATCATGATGGAGACTATCCATGATCCCTCGTCGGCAGACGTGGGTATCGAGCTCTCGGTGGATTGGAGGTACGGTAGCGTGGGCGACGGCCAACCGTAGCAGGTACCCGCTGTCGCAGTGATGAGTGTTGCTGAAATGGAGAAATATTCTGATTGAGATTTTGTTTGTTACATTTTAGAAAGAAGATGTAACTATTAAGAAGGAGCGGTCAGAAATTTTGATGAGTAGGTAAGTAGGTACATAATAGAATTCTTAGACTGAGTTGCTCTACCTAACTTTGACCGTAACTATAACGTTAACCGGTGTATTTTGTAGTGTGTAGTGTAGTCAAAGTAAGATGGTGCAACTCAGCCTTAATTAGTCAAATTAATCTAGAGACGTGATGTTTTGCGAAAATCTAGTGACGTGCGTACGTATGCGTGAACTTGGAAATGTTATGCAAAAAGTGATTGATCGAGGTAAATGCTAATAGTAAAATGCTAACAGCTAATAAAAAAATAATGAATTACCTAGCTTGTTCT